CAACACCTATATTGTACAATTTTGACATATACCAACAACACATAGCAAATGGAATATTTCATCCTTTGTACCTTTATGGATATTCCCGCAATTAACACAAGGACAATAAAAGATACCATTATTATCGTAAATATTTTTATAGCGTATTCAAGGAATTCAAGAACTCTATTCTCATAAATCTAACATAATATATTGGATTTCATCCAACTACAATCCTGAAACAATCGGCTGAAAATCATCGAGAGAAAATCAATGAAGTCGCCATCAAACGTTCCTCGGAAAGGTTTTTCCGCCAGGCCTCCTTGTTCGCAGACAAAATAGCTTCCCTATCCTCTTCATGGATACCTAAAGAATTATCCTTGCCAAAGATACCACGGTTGAGATAGCAGGGGGCAGCATAAAATTCTTCTCGACAGTCTTGCCCTTATCTGCAACGACCACTCGCTCAAAAATTTCCTCGTGCCTCCTTTTCGCGCGCTATTCATGGGGAGAAACTTGATCACCTTGAGGAGAAGAGGAGCCACCAATATGGCCATCAACCTTGGCATATCCCTGAATCTCACCAGCATGGTCCCTAGGCACAATTTTGATGCCCTTAGGCCTCAACTTAAGCACACGTTCTGGGATGGTCGCCATTCAGTCTACAATCCAAAAAGGAAACATTAGTATATGAAACAAAATAGCCAAAATACTTAGTAAGGGCACGCTCCCTACATAAAAGTCTCAAAGTTTCTTCATCAGAAGAACACTCGAGGAGCGCCTTAGTATTTATGAGGCGGGCAACGAAGATATGTTCCCCCTCATCATTGAGAATGAAGTTGTTGTTCGAATCCACGCATACATTGGGGTAGAAACTCCTGACATAGGCTTCCAATTTATCATAAGCAAGCCTATCTTGGGCATCCAGCTTCTCGGGATTTACTGCGTAACATTCTGGTTTCTCTTCGAAGTGCTTACACTGCCGCTCAAGGGGGAACTTCGCCCTTAACCTCGTCACTTCCTGACCATGCTTGATCTCGACAAAAAGCTCATTAAGGGAGTCTACAACCGCGTCTAATAGAGGCTTCACAACATAATACCTCTCTTTAAAATTTTTGGACAAACTCCAGGTATGGTCGGAATAGCTTTTCGAACCACTTGAATGACACCCAGGCCTGGAGGCTGTCGAATGTCTACCATTGGAGGTGGAAGATCCGGAAGAACAAGGTCAGCGTGGCTCCAATGTTAAGGTATCGGAAAACAATCTCAAATGTCCGCATAAACGCTAGCGCGTTCAAATGGAGTTGAGAAGGCGCCAGTTCTAACCATTTAAAAACCCCCGCTTGGAAGTCTGTAAAAGGCAGATGCATCCCCGCTTCCTTAAAGGCAAACTCATACATGGGGAAGCGCGTGTCTGGGAAAGCTGAGCAGATCCTCCTGTGCCTGTTTGGAATGAGAGCCGACCAAGAGGCGGGAGCATCATCTTCCTTCTTCTCGACAATGTTGAACGCATTCGAGGAATCGTGAACAAACTGAGACATCAAATTTCTAGGCTCAGGCGCAACCCAATTCAGGCTACTGCCTGCATTTTCATTTTCCTCGCCATTAGAATCAGGTAAAATGGTCTCTTCAATCGGTTGAGCCATGTGACCTGAAAAGCAGGGGAAACAGAGAATTTGACATCATCAAATACACCCTTCCACCGCAGGTCAAGTGATTGGGCGAGGAGCGCCTCGAGGATATATCCTTGACTCAAGCCCTTGATGGCTCGCGCGTAAGGAAGTAACTCCCCTCAAATAAAAATAAAATCACGCAAATGCTCCCTGACAGAGCAAACCGCAAGGAAAGATCCCCGGCACAGACCGGTATGAAGTTCATCCGAACTTCATGGATCTTCATCTAGAATTCATGAATATTCATGCAAAATTCATGAACTCCATAGAAAACTCATGAATCTTCGTCCAGTATTCATGAACTTCTCTAGAAACGTCATCCCTTCATCTGAAAACCTAAAATAAATAACATGCTTGAAGAGAACCGCTTACTTGGAGAAGGATGAACGATGGGAATTCCTACGGCAGCGATGGTGGAAGCAATACAGCTTGCGAACGGAGAAGAAACAGGAGGAGAGCAAAGTTGAAAATACTCAAGTGAATTTCATCTCTTCCATTTTATAGCCATCCCCTACCATACGGGGTAGTGTGCTAAAAGTCATTATTGTTAGGCTCATAGGCTGCCCTAGGAAATGATGACGCTGTAAATAGTTATCACGTGTGACACGCGAAGTAACACGCCTTTTTAACTTCAGAAAATCACACGCGTGAAGTCAGGCGCTGGCATTATTTCAAGTCCTCATTGGAGAACACATGCTCAACATGATCATGGCACCCTTTTTACGAGCACCACAATAATACAATCCCGGGAAGAAAGTTTGTGTTTCCCTGCATGTGTGAATCATGCGCGTGCACTTACCTTAAGACGGGAAGCGACCAAATTGACCGAGGAAGGTCCTTCCAAACAAGCGCTCATACCACACAAGGAGTCGATGGGGAGATTGATAGGTCGTCGGTCATATCTTCCCCGACCGAAAATACGATGTCTTTACGTTAATTCCTCCCCGAGCATCGAGGACAGAAGTTTATTCCCTTGTTAGACAGTCTTTCCCCGACAGTTTAACTGATCTTAAGTCATCGCTCTTTCGCCCAAGAGAAATAACTTGGAGGGCTCATGTTCTGGACTGAGCTGGCACTTGGCCCACCGTTTGGGAGGCCTAATCCAGCGCCTCCGCTAAGGCCCAATGGCATCTAGTCCAAACCAACAACCGTTGGGGATTTCCCCACGTGTACGTTAGGGAAACATGGCTCATAGTTATCCATAACCATCATCCTGTCCATCGAGAATGACGAGTCCAACTCCCTATTATCTCAGAGCAGTTGACCAGAGAGAAGTCCACGTGCTGGACTCCACTACTCACGTAACCCTGACAGTCTTCGTTATTGGGTCTCATTATTGGTCCAATAACAAAGATCTTGGTCCAACGTTGGGGGCAATAAGTACCCTCTCCCATGAGAGAGTCAGGTATTCATTCATTTACTTACTTTCATAATTGCACTTTGATTGTCTATATTTTTACTTTGACATCGAAGTACCTTGCAGGTACACCTCCCTCCTCCACTTCACTTTCAACCGTTGTTCAACTCAAACTCGTAGGTCATTGACGATCCCTCCTGATCAGGCACGATCACAAACTATAAATTATATTAATCAATTTTTTACACTTAATTAACCAATTTTATGCCATTGTTCATGCAGTGTTAATGTCACTGTTCACACAACTATTTATGTCACTACTTACTTGGTTTATGTCAATATTCAGTGTTTATATCATTGTTCACTATATGTGAACAATGAATATGATATAGGTGTAAGGAATGGTATATGAATAACATAGCTTCTCGATTAATATCATAAAAGATTAAATTCATTTTTCTTTTTGTAAATTTCTTCAACATGTTTCAACTCAAATGATATCGTAAGTCTATTTGAAGGTTACAAGAGCACTATTGAAGGTTGCAAGGGCACTATCTGAATGCAATTTTAAGAATATCTTCTTAAGCAATGAAGATTTGATTACATTTTTAGTACCTATCCATTAAAATTAGTATGTTTTTTGTACTAGAAGTTGATTCAATTAGCATATCGACTATTCGCATGGAGAATCCATTTGTAGATGCAGTAACATTTAAATCTCTAAAGTATATGCATAATCTTAAATAACCATTTTTCTTCATTATTGATACTATATTTAAAATTAAAAAAATCATTCTACATCCTTGGATGTTTCATTGAATTCGGACTTTAATAATATTTATATTTCTACTTTGATCTTTGAAAGGTTTTTTAACAGGTTTTCAAAAAAACTTGTGCTCTACCAATACTTGGTTTCCTTTACAAATCAATCCTTGTATTCATGAAGAATTAGTATGGTGTATCTCTTCTTAACGTTATGTAACAAAGAACTCCCGTACATGGGTTTAGATTTTGCACCTTCCTATTCAAAGTTAACTTCTTTGACTTGATCCTAAACTTCAAGTTTCACCATGTCATTAGACCACCTATTCTTAAACCCTAAATGCAGTTAGATGTTTTATCCAAAGGAATAAAATATGTTTCTTCCTTCAAGTCTCTCTATTCTCTTGCTTGATGAATTTAGGTTTTTTTTTATCATAATATCACTTTGATATTCATCTGGATTCTAATTCTCCAACCCTTTCAAACCCACCAAACTTTGATGTTATGAATCAAACATTTTTCTTCAAGATTGGCCATTAAAACATATTATCATCATGTCAAGAGGCATCAAGTCCTCCTGTATTTTCCTTCAATTTATTCATCAGTGGAGAAGGCATCAAGTCCATCTATCAACATTTTGTTCACATTAATTCCTCAATTCATTTATAAACAAAGGTTTCAAGTGTCCCTTAATTTTCCCACTAGGAGGGTGAAACAACTTTCTGGAAAAAAAATGAAAAACACAGATTATTGGCTTAATTGGCAAGCAAACTTGCCGGTCAATGTGTTTCTTCCTTCTTCTTTGACAAGTCAAAGTGCTTTTTTCAAAAATAAAACGGACCAGAAGTGCTTATCAACAGCCATCATTAAACAGGTATAAACTTTACACAACAAAGAACCTATAAATTTTATATGACTTTTGCTAGAGAATTATATGGTTTGCCCCATACAAGGAACCTATAACTTTGCACAACAAAAGGATGAAATCATAACCAACTGAATAAATTGTATTTAGTCAATATTACATAAAACGTTTCAAACAATAACTGCATGACAGAATCCTAATATAACAAATATAAATTATTCAAGTTGTTATTCCAATTGTTCATCACTCAGGGCCAAAATTCCAATTGGTTAAAAATGAACAAAGTCGAGCTTCAACCGAACGGTTTTAAGACATTGCCAGTTTTATAAAAATAACATATTCGTTGATCAAATCCCATGCCTACTTATTTACGTGGTTTTTGCCTTTTTTTAATGTTATCTACCATTCTATGCAGATTGTTGATTTCAAAGTCCTTTTTTCTCAATTGCTCCTTTATTGATTCAATCTCCAATTCACTTTCTTTCGATCGTTGATTCAGCAATTGTTCCTTCATTGATTCAATCTCCAATTCATTTTCTTTCAATCGTTGATTAAGTGCTTCAATCTCATTCAGCTGCTCCAATTCTCTTTCTTTCAAACGTTGATTCAGTGCTTCAATCTCTTTCAAGTGGACCTTCTTTTCAATTTCATGTTTCATTCGTAAAGCTTTCAGGGCATCATCCTTTTCAACTTCAGGATCCATTTTTAGTTTCTTGTTCTTGAAAGTGTCAAGTGTCTTGTCTTCTTCTGGTAAATCTCTCTTAGATGGCAACTTTTTGTGGTGATTATCAATTCCCATTTTCCGAACATATACACTGACATCTATACCTGTACTCAGCCGACATGTTACAAGTTTTTGTTGAAGCCCATTTGAATCCTAACATAAAGCATTCACATCACTGACTATGAGATTGAACAAAAGGGGGCAAGCATGCCCAAAAGGGAATATACTTATATTTCAGTGATATAAAACTAGAAGTCTACATCATCAATTTATTATAAGAAACTTCATATAATGTATATCCATTTTGTTGAACAGACACTAGACAAGGTATTTCGCCATCAGATTTTAGAAGGAGATTTACATAACATTTAAGCATTTATATTAGAAAAAATGGATGCAAGTATTGTGGTAGCGAATGGAATCCACGGCTATGTATTTTTTTCCCTAAGCTAACCAACCAACAAACGAACTCCTCCATAACACAAAGTAGCATCAATCCAACAAACGAACTCCTCCGTAATACAGAGTAGCATCAATAAATATTGGTATTTAGTATATGTACCTTTTCTTGGCTGCCTTGAACATTTTCATATGCCTCAAGTGCCTCTCGTTGGCTCTTAAATATAGCTAAGACAGAATACTTGTCTCTGTGATCCCTCCTGGCAGGCTGCAGCAAATTTTACAATGGATCAGAACTCAAACAAGGAAAATAGTCCAGTGACTGAATTTCAACAAGATTACCACATAACAAATCTAAAAGTCATAAAATTAAAGGCATCCATGCTATTCCAATAATTCCTGATGACTGTCTTCCTCAAAACATTGGGACATTGGGATACTGATACTGCATACCTTTTGTTCTATTGTGAAGTCTCCAGGAACAATTTCGTGTAGCGTTTCACTATTTACAGTGGTTGGTATTTTGTGAATAAGCAGCTTCGACATCTTACTTTCTGAAACCTAAAATGAGACGATAGAAAACAGTGATAACAATAGTTACTAACCACCGTGAGTATAATAACAACACCAACACCTCAGTACTGAAAACGTATACAATACGATGACTTACAGGCTCTTGAACCAATATTTGAGTCAAAATTGGTTAAATCTAGTAATATTTAAGTGCAAAACCTATCCTGATCTTCTGCAAACAGAATGTTTGAAAACATACCTGCTCAGGGGAATCATGAGATCTATCTTTTGGTCGCTCTAACGTGTATTGATTTGAATGACGCTGCATGATGTTATCAAAAAACTGAGCACAAGAAGAAAATCGGTAAGACTCATCATATTGGCTATTAACTTTATCTTTAAGAAAACATATATTACCTTTAAATCCTCATCAGTTGAGAATGTCTTGAGAAATTCAGCCAAAACCTCATGGGATCTCTTTGATGGATCACTCAAACCTGCCCCGAATTTCTTATCATGATTCTTCAAGAATTCTTTCCAGCCTCCTAGTTTACCCTTCATATCTTTCTTTTGTACCAACTTTACAATATCAACCAGCACCTGCACACATGAAAAAATGAATTCACTGAATTGAGAAGAAAGAAAGACGGTAAGACAAAAGACTAACAAAGATCAAGGTGTAAGATTCCATTCATCTAAACAACAGATATATATATATATATATATATATATATATATATATATACATCTAAAACTATCAGAACGAATCAACACGGGCGTAAACCTAAAATATCAAAATGAATTCCCAGCAGTGCAATAACAGGACATTATGACTTAGCTTGATTTATACATAAAGCTAACTCAGTTAGTGAGGAAAGTCCTCTTTATTGATTGAATTTCAAAAACAAAACTAAAAGTTTCGCAGCAACTGTGAGTCTATGGTAATCATTTAAAAAAGTTACCTTCTTTTCTGCTGTGTCTATCTTGTCATCCATTTGGAGTTAAGGAATAGTTGTCGAATAAAACCTGGTTATCATATAAGTAAAGCAGTTAATTAATATGAGTGAGTACACGCAATAGGGATGCATCATTAGAGGTGAAGGAAACCCAGAAAGAAGAAGAAATTCAAAATTTGAATGACTTTCTCACTGTTTCTGGCGGCCGACGACCAAATCCGGCAGCGTCTTCCGGTTCTATTCAATTACAGAGGCGTAGCCGCAGCGGGAACGGGAACGGCTATGATGAATGTTCAGTGATCGTTGTAAAAAAAATTAGATTTTAACCTAACCAGATCAAGATTATGTTATTTTATATCCTATTAAAAATTGACCGGATAAATAAACCTACGGTGCTTTGAGAGATTTTAATATGGGATATTGGATATTTTTACATGATACTGTTCCAAAGTGTATAAAAAGATTAAAATAGTCCAATTCAAATATTTTTTGAATTCAAATTTTTAGTATTACATCAAAAATTTTAAATTTGTGGTGGCAATATTGGATATTTCAAGTGCGTACTAGAAATTTTGTGAAATAGTAAAAATTTATGGTATTTTTCATAAAATATCTGGTATTTCATCCCAAAAATTTATAAATTTCTGGTATATTTTAATCGAAAATTTTAAAATTTTTGATTACTGTGATTATTTTTATATCAGAAATTTTAAAATGTATGGATGTTAACTTCCAGTATCAGAACTTTCGAAATGTCCGGTAGATCATTTTTTTACTATTTTTTCTTTCTTTTTTCTTTTTCAGTGAGGACCAGAGGCAGAGACGGTACCGTTGCGGGTAGGCACTCCGATAGAGCGAAAGCTCAAGCCCGGTTTGATGAGGCACATGCATCCAAGCTACGGGCAGGACAACGTGCTATGATCGGGCTGATGAGGCATTTGTTGGTTTTTATTAATTATTTGAGTATATTAAATTGTTTTTATTTATGAAGTGTTGGATATACGAGCACTTCCCACACATCTGTGAGCGAAAGATCTAGTGTGTCCCGCCTAGTGTTGCATGTGCGAGGAAATGGAAGAGCAAGCAAGCCCTTCCAAGAGTGTGATGGAGTATAGGAGGAGGCTTGACGCTCTGACCATATAGGGTGTCATCTGAACGCCATATACATCTCATCGACCTTATCGTGCATTTGACGACGCTTCTTTGTATTCATGGCATATTAGGTGGGAGAACCATGTGGCTAGACACTTTTCTGAGAGGGGTATGCGACATTATGGTTATATCCATGGCATCCCTCGTTCGGTTTCAGAGGCTTCAGCCGGTGGCATTGACAGATGGTTTCAGAGTCACGTCTTCAGCTCTTCCCGTGAGATCAAGATATATCAGTTATGGTTTAGTATCCTTCACATTACGAGGATGGATACCTGGAGTGGTATCACAGTGTTGTACCCCAAAATTTACCCTCTCACTTATCAAATATGTTCTCACAAGATATCCTTGGGTTCAAGACTGCACAAGGGTTGATCATCTCAAGACACCTCCTTAAGCACTAATGACTGAAATTAGGGTTTGAGATTGCACAAGGATAATTGAACTTTTAATGCCTCATATGACTTTCATGGATCATTATGGACCCCCAAGATTTCTCATGTCAAGTTTCAAGTCTTGGATCACATTTTTGCTCAGCCAATTGAGCAGTTGACCTAAAAATCAACTATATTGGGGGAAAAGTCAATTTTGGCCAATTTACAGTCAAACTTCGTATTTTTTTATCCATATCAACATTATGAACTCATATGTATCATTTGATCAAGTTTGGACCACAATTCATCAAGAAATTTGATCAGATCATCAAAAGGGCAAAATAGTCAAAATTAGGGTTTTGACTGAGAAAGGGAAATTTCTGATTTTTGACCTAGCAAATGGTTAATTGGTTGGAGACATGATCTCAAGGTTTTAATTGCATCATTTTGACTTAATGGCATGACTCAAAACATCTCTCAAGGTCAATTGATTGATAGTTGATTTTCAGTCAACTGATCAAAAGTCAACTGTACACTGAAAAGTCAAACTTTGACTTTTTGATTAAAATCAAGTGTCAAAGACCACAATTCACCAAAATATGTCAAAATATGAAACTTGTTCATCAAGAAATCAAAAAGTCAAGATTTCATTTTGAAAAGTTAAAGTTTCTAAACTTAGAAATTTTTCTAAGTGTTGAAAACTTCATATTTTTTCACAACTTTGAGTCAATTTTTCACCATGATGCAAGATGATTCAAAAGAAACTTTCAACATGAAAGTTGTAGACCTCCATGAGATCTAAAACATTGCTTTACACAACTTCTCCTATAAATTCTTTGATCTCAAGTTATTAATCCATGAAGTCATGGTCATGAAACTAAAACACTTAGTGAAATTTTGAACATTTTTGGTCAGGAATTTGACCTAACTTCTGACCCAAGTTTCACATAGTTCCATTTGGATTTTTCAAAAGTGATTTAAATAGGTTTTGTATAGCACATTACAAGATTTCCAAAATGTCCAAGAACTCCTTGATATCATTTGTGAGCAAGGAGAATCGATGGTCAGAAGTTGGGGGTTTCAAGTTGTTTTGCAAGGCAAAATTTGTGATGCAACATGAACCAAATCCATAGCCATGCTGCACAATCTTGCTTCGCAGGCCTCTAAACCTCAAGATCTCTACCTAATCAGAAGATTACACTTGCTTTTGAGATATTATCCATTTGATTCAAGCTTTATCCAAGATAATTTTCTATTAATGGCACAAAGGCACCATTGCCATTTACATAAAGCAAGCTTTATGCAAAGTCAACTTGCATTGAGCTTTGCACTTGTTCCTTCTGCACAAACTTCCTCTACAAAGTCAGATAAGCATATTTAAAGTTGGTAACCACTCTATATAGCTTTGTACTATGCATTGAAACCATGTTTGTCAACCTTACTTCAAAAACAAGCCAAGAAGCCAAGAAGCCAAAACATGTGATCTTGTACTTTTGACCACCTCAAGTATCCAAACCTTTTCCATACATATACACAAGTTATTTTCAAGGAAATGCACGCATACACAAGCCCTAAAACACACAAGAACTCAGAACTGAATCAAAAATTACCATCGTTGCACATTCTGACCAAAAACTTAAAACTCACATCTCCCTCGTGCGTTTTCAAGCCTTTTGGTTCCTAAAGCTTCTAAACATTAAATACAACTCATCCTTGACCCTGTCACACAACTGTAACACCATTTGCATTATCTTCCATTTTCAAAAACAGAGCTTTGCACTTGGACTTCTTCAGCACGATTCAGCCATCTCCATTACAAACTAAACATTGCATTAACATCCTAGAGGGTCACTGAAGCTATTCTAATCATCACAACACCTTGAGGAGTGCTCAAACTCAGAATATGATTTCCAGTTTTAAGGTAAATTTCCTTAAATTTGAAATCTCTCTACAAGCATCATTATTGATTCATTTGTGAAGATAAAATGTAGACCTCATTGCCCTGAAGCTGCACATATCCTTAGTTTTCATTTACATGGCTTGAGCTTAGAGAATTTTAAGTTTGAAGTTTCTGAAAAAATTAGGGTTCAAATTAGGGCTAGAGAAATTCTCATTCATCTTTGATATATAGCTTTAGTTGTTTACATGGTTAGATTCGTGAGGAAAAATAGCACAACTTTCATGTTTGCATTTTCCATTTTTGTTGAGAAATGAATGAGATACAGGTGGTCTGGCTGGCTGAAGGTTGAAGACGAAGTACATGTCATGGAGAGGTTTTACATTATGTATTTATTCTTTCATTTAAGTTAACGGATATACAGCCACCCTAGTGATAAGGCAGCGCGCGTTATTGGTAGAGGTCATGGGTTCGAACCTCAGTGCTGCCTTTTGTATTTTTTCCATATTTTTTGTCATTTTTCCTTCCAGCGCGTTTGGGCTCTCTCCCTTGGGCCTGATTCATTTTTCTCACTAATACCCCCCTGTTTGCTCATACCACACAGCCCATCTCTTTTTATTTTTTTATTTTTCTGTTTACAAAAAAAAACAATAATGGGCCAACTTCAAGACTTTTTTTCTAACAAACCCCCATTTCCTCTTTTTTTGACTCCCTGACTTTAATTTTATTTTTTTATTTTATTTCATCTTTTATTATTATTATTATTATTATTATTATTTTCATTAATAAAAAACCCAAAAATATTTATATTTTATTATTTATATTTATTTAGTTTATTCTTCTTCATAAAGAACTAAAAGAACAAAAAACATTTCCTTTAATAAATTAATTTCTTTTTAAATACTTAGATAATTAGTCTTAATTATTATTATATTATTTTCTTGTAAACTAAAATCAATTTAGAACTTAGGACTTTTATTTTATTTACTAGTTTAATTAAATTCACAAAAAAACCTAAGAAGTTTGTTTTCTTTAAATTAATTTATTTTACTAACCTAATCTTAAGTTTCTTATCTTTAGTTAATTATTGTATTTTAGTTAACTAGGTCAAAAAACCTTTTCATAAAAACCAAACAAAAAAATCATTTCTTTTTCCATTTTGCATTCTTGCATTTTTATCTTTATTTTGGTACAATATTCAATATGATTGCAATAATTATTTAGATTTAATTTCTTGCAATTCCCCCTATTTGTAATTTGTATACCCCCTCTCCTAAATGATGTAATAGTTTAGTATTTTTATTTTCCGCAATTTAATGTTTTATATACAAATACTAGTAATTAGGGTTTGTATGACAAGAATAAAATCAACAAGTAGCAAACCCTAATCCAAAGATAAATCAAGCATGAAAACCAATACACTTGCATACATACACCCTTAGGTTAAATCCACTTTGTTGCCTTACAAAAATGGCCATATTATGCATGTGAGTTATCTTAGCAAAGTTAAGCAAAAAATATAAGACCATAGTCCCTCGATGATGCTATCCATGTTGCCTTTCAAAATGATCTTAGTCCCTAAAGAAAATGCTAAGATATCTTACAATGCTGCTAATCAT